TGTATCTTATAAAAAAAAATCTGGCATGTCTCGCACCCCCAGAAAGGACATCTCTCACCCCAGGTGGTGCGTGCACCCCAGGTTAAGAACCACTGGTTTAGGGTATTTGGCTGCTATAAATTTTCACGTGATAAGCCACTTCGTTGAGCTATCATTTGTGACCAGGTCACTTCTGAAAAAGATCTGTATAGATCAGTGGGCTGTCACTGGTAAAATACAAAATATTTTAATAGCTTATAGTCCTTTACAGAGTAGGGGGTATGCATTCCCATACACGCTGCCAATGCATTGTTCCATGTTAGTAAAACTAATATTTTTCATTCTCGGAGCTGGAATTTAGCCAAATAAAGTGCAAAATTTAAGTGATGGGGGTTTTTTAGTACAGTCGTTCGTGAGCAGGCTGAGACCGTAAACATGTTACAGTTGAGAACTCAATTTGATCACCGGTGGCTGCCCAGATTCAATCCCAGGATGTCAGCGATGCCAGCCCAGCCTTCTGACCTCTGAGCCACCAGGGTCATCGGCTGTAATATTCAGTATCTTAATCAAGCTGCCGAGAGAAGCCCTCACAAAGTTTGTGCTGAGTTGAGAAAATGCACAAGTTAGAATGCACTCATTGAAAACACCATTGGTTTGCTTGTAAATGCTGGCAGGCAGTGCTGCATTATGTCTTGCTAATGGGCTTGGCTCTGGAGCATAGTTTTGCTGTATTTCCATAAGTCAAACTGAGGTGCTCTTGCCCAAGACCAAACGAAACTGATTTAATATCTGCATATCTATAAACCAGTGCTCACAAACACTGAGTTGTATATCTTCTGAATAAAATGTTCTGAACTGAAATTTCATGGTTGATAAAAACATCATTTCACATTATTATCTAAGCTAAGTTTTGTAATGTATTTATAGATAGTAGCTTGGACTGTAACGATACACATTATACCATTATATAACGGACACGATGGTACCGGTCAAGCTGTCCAGCATTTTAGAATTGCATACGTCTATTGCTTTGCTTCTTCGGGGAAGTTTCAAGTTTATCTTTTTCTCCCTCTCTGGGTTTTTTGTTTTCTGTCTCTGCCTGTGTATTTAGTGTACTTTTTCTGTTTCCACTCGTTTTTTGTCGTTCTTATGTTCTGCTCTGTCTGTGTGTCTCCGTTCCTCTTGTTTTATGTTTTGTCTCTCTTTGAAATTTTCACACTTAAATTCTAACTTAGCAATCTTTGAAATACGTAATCGACCAGGCTATGCGTTAATTGTGTGTTGACCGACTCTCTGTGTTGTATTACATAACATTTTGATATTTTGCTAGGTTATTTAATTTAGTGTGTTCTTTCTCCCTCTTTCCTAATGTTCAAGCTTGCGTACTTGACCACGCGTCGCCGTACTCATTGACATGTTATTTTTTTCTCTAACCCCTCCCTCTCTCCACCCCCTTCCTCCCCCCCCTCTGTCTATTTAAGGCCTCGCCACAGAGATGATCTCCCTCTCTGTGCCTATGTGTTACTCTCTCTATATGTATCTTGGTGATATCTGTCTGCTTATATGTCTGTCTATAGTTTTCTGGTTAGATTTTTGTTGCTATTTCATTTATACCTGATGATGATTGCTTGTGTTGCAATCGAAACGTCGTATGCTATTATTAAATTTATTATTTTATCTTTATACGTGACTTTACCGAAAGAACCAAAGAGCATGTAAATGTAGTTTACTAATCATCGACTGCGATGGAACCAGGATAATGTCATGTGAAACAAACTATATTTTTGCCTTTTTTCCTGAATGAGAAAATAAGATGAAGATGCAGGGAGTGAGGGAGGGGGGGTATCGGGAGACCCTACACTGATGGACGTGACTTTGTGCACAATCAGCCTGAGACTGTGGTGTTTGATAAAAAAAAAACAACCTTTAATGTCGCTTCTTTTCCTCCATACCAACCATACTGTACTCCCATATTACCTTGCATCCTATACTTCGGAATGCTCCACTATTAGTCTACACTCTTTAGCTTTAAAATCACTGCTTATTGAATTCATTCAACTGATTTTCAGAGAGCATCTGGAGGGCACCCACATACAATCGTGTGATTCATGTCACCAATTTTATTTCCAGCTTCCCACTTTCACAAGTGGCTAACCCTAGCCCCTTGACTAATCTCACATTGTATTGAACCATTTTCAGAATCTCCAGTGACTTCAGTGCTTTTCATTTGGTTCACACAATCCTCCAAGGTTTCTAAACTATATCATACTATCTTCGACAATGCTTCCTCAAGATGTTAAATATATTCATTGGTTGGTGGCAGTACTCGCAGTTAAGGACTATTAACATTAATAGCATTATTTGTGAAAATACTTTAAACGATGTATTCTTCCTTGAAAATAACATGTGTTTTCACGTAATGAAGATGCATTATTATTTGTATGTTTACAAGCAGACAATCTTAACTTAACTCTAATACTATTAAAGTATGTTATATTGCAATGCACAAAAATACATGTTTACAGGATAAACAATTGATTGTAAAATGTGTTTGGGCTGTTATGAACTGGCATTGTTTGCAATTTCATATAATTAACTCCATTCGTGCACTAATCGCTTGGCATGCATTAAGACACAATTGCAAATTTTGACAGATTCTTTGTAAATAAATGAAATGCTTGTTTTTGGTTATTTATTTAAACCAATTATTGTTTTAATATAAATCATTTCATCTAAATTGCATTAATGCAACATTGAACTAAAATTCTAGAAACACATTCGTTGTGCAAAAATACAGCCTGGCATCGTAAGTGGGATTTCTATATCGTGGGATTTATACATATTTATATACACTGTAGTGATATTTATATACTGTAGTGGGGCTTTACCGAATGAAAATATTCAAAAGATGGCACCAACACCTATATCTATACAATCAAGCTTGCCATGATGTAATATTTAATGAAAGCATAAAATATACACTTTAAAGATACGATGATAATTATCGAATTATCAATTTTTCAATTACTTTTTAACTGTATTTAGTCTATTTTGTCGTATTGTTTTTGTTATTTGCTGTACTTTCAGTTCGTATAAAGATTGCTTAAAAGTTCTTCAACTGCAATTCACTCAACATAATTCTGCCAAAGTCCTTTAACACGGCGAAACAAATTATTTTTTGTTCCTGGGAAGTAAGTATTATTTCCTAATTGCTTATGCCTCAAAAGTACAGAACATGTCTATTATTCCCCACAAACTTTGCTTTTGTGACCTGGACAATGATATTTTAAAATGTACCTATTTTCAATGAGAAAATGGGCGAATTTGTGTATTTTCGTTCATGTAAAGTAAAAAAAAATATATGAATCAAAAGTTACATGTATTTATACTAAAGTAATACAAAAATTACTACAAAAGATTTAGACACCAAGGCGCGCTACCACAGGTGGGACTGGATACAGTGGACCGAGTTCTCTGTGGGGAGGAACAATGTCAAGTGGGAGCCACTGGTGGACCCCCGGAAGGTGCTGATGCCACCACTGCACATCAAATTGGGCCTTATGAAACAATTTGTCAGAGCTGTAGATAAGGAGTCGGTAGCCTTCAAGTACCTTCAAGACTTCTTCCCTAAGCTGTCTGAGGCAAAGGTCAAAGCCGGTGTCTTGGTTGGACCACAGATAAAGAAGATCCTGGAGTGCAATGAATTCCCCAAGAAGCTCACTAGTTAGGAGAAAACGGCTTCGAACAGCTTTGTCGCAGTGGTTCGTGGCTTCCTGGGCAATCACAAGGTCGAAAACGATGTGGAGCTGGTTGAGACTGGTGAAGAACTACGGCACAATGGTTGTAGGATGTCCCTCAAAGTCCATATCCTTGATGCTCATCTTGATAAATTCAAGGAGAACATGGGAGCGTACTCGGAGGAGCAAGGCGAATGCTTCCACCAGGATATACTGGACTTTGAACGCCGCTACCAAGGACAGTATAACGAGAACCTGATGGGAGACTACATTTGGGGGCTGATTTGTGAAAGTGATTTACAGTATAATCGTAAATCTCGAAAAACGACTCACTTATCTTTTGTCGTAATTGTTGTATTACTTTGGTATAAAGACATGTTAATTTTGATTCATATGTTGTTTTTTTCTGACTTTTTGTGAATTAAAAGACACAAATTCGTCCGTTTTCTCATTGAAAATAGGTAAATTTCATAATTTCACTGTCCTGGTCATAAAAGCAAAGTTTGTGGGGAATAATAGCCATTTTTTATACTTTTTAGGCATAAGCAATTACGAAATAACACTTACTACCCAGGAACAAAAATCGTGTAATCAATTAAGCTTTTACAACGTGTAAAGCATGGCCTGTCAGTTTCACAAAAGAGACCATGTTTAAATGAGGTACAGTTGTGATACAGGAAAACAAGCACACTTAATGGGTAATAGACGCTGTTCGTTGATTTACAGCAGCACAGGCGGTGTCACGAGCTCTACTGGGGCAGCCATCCATCATAAACACCTGCCGCAACTGGCTCGTCTCAGGCCATGTCTGTTCGTCACATGATTCTTAACAGCTCCTTGTGTTAGGATGTATCTGCCTTCATATGCTGCACCCCTGGAAGAGAAAAACACATAATCAACCCTTGATGAAGGGTTCCATGGGCTGTTGCATTTCGGGTATCCACCTTCTGAGGTACAAAAAGACCAGAACATATCATGGGAATAACAATATCTCACAATACCCGAAAGGAGGAGAACTACATGTAAATGTGTTGACTTGAATAGTGTATTATTATTATTACACAATTCACAAAAAAAAGAGTTTTCATGTCCAGAGAAGACTTATAGATTTCCCAGGACAGCTCCCTCAACAGGAAGACATCTTGGGAAAACCATGATATGTGGTAATCAGAGTTGCATCGTGTCTTCCATCCTACAGTGTGATTGTATTATGTGGAAATGGGACCCTGTAATACCATTATTACTATAGCTACATGAACCGCACCTCTCCCACTTGATTTCCAGGCAACGCTTGAGAAGCTGGAGACGGAGCTGAATGAGGTGAAGATCAACCACATGACCCTGAAGCGCAACTTCTTGGAGCTGACGGAACTGCGGCACGTGCTGGAGAACGCACAGCACTTTTTGACCGAGGTTCGTGTTCTCTGCTTCGTGGGAGCTGGTATAGGTGACAGATAGCACAGTGGGAATGAGAGCATTGTGGGAAGTTAATGCTCCTAAAATAGTAATAATAGTCGTAAATAATACTTCACAACCATTTGTCAATCCAATTCAGGATGAAGACCGTCCGTACCATGCGGGTCATGAGAGTTTATTTGACTATACTTCACCACACTGGTCAGTGCGGTTGGGTGAAGAGGGGATACCCCAGGACCGGTTCAGATATCACGATGGCACTGATGTTAGTCATTCTAGATTTGAAGCTTTCGTGACTGCAATGATTCATATTCTTAGGTTTTTTCGGTAAAGTCACGTAGGTAAAAAATAAAATAAAAATTAATAAAAGTGAAATAAAAATAAAAAATCACGACGTTTCGGAGGCAACACAAGCTTCCGTCTTCAGGTGGAACCGTCACAGCACGATTGCTGTATCAAGTTACAGCAATCGTATCAAGTTACAGCAATCGTGCTGTGACGGCTCCACCTGAAGACGGAAGCTTGTGTTGCCTCCGAAACGTCGTGATTTTTTATTTTACTTTTATTAATTTTAATTATATTTTTTACCTACGTGACTTTACCGAAAAAACCTAAGATGTTAGTCATGCCCATAAATTGAACTGGGGCGGCTGTGTATTATACCGTACTGTGCTCAGCATTGTGCCATTGCACCACTTCTCCTAGAATCGTACTTTCCACTATTTAAAAGTTACTAAATAGACCTTAATTGATATTAGAAAGGTGAGTTCAAGGATACATGTAATTCTTTGTTCATGTTAAATTAATATTTTTTGTTACAATGAGTAGTATTATATGTTATCACGCCAGACTACAGAGTGTAGAATGATGCCATTGAGAAAATGATAAACAACCCAACCATCCACAGGGTTGTTTTTAGGGAATCCATAAATAAATAAAGATCCAAGATAAAGTACCTCGTATTGTTGGTGCTAAAGGGCCATGGCGCTGGCTTTCACCGTGACATTGGGAGCAATATCGTTGCATACTGCTGATGTTAAATGTGCTGCTGCTAATGTTTGGAGCTCGCTATCGAGCTTTTCATTACCATTGTGGACTTTATAAACTACAAGAGAATTCGAAAACAATAAACTCTGTGGCCAAGTGCGTGACTGTGCCAGGTCATTGCTTTTTTGTTGTTAGAGAGTCAAGGCTGCACAAGACATGTCCCACCGAAATCAAACGCTATTGTATTCAGCATTTAAGAAGATATGTTATTCATGCTCGTATTAAATAGTTGCACGTTAAACCTCTGAATTACTCACTACTCATGGTCTAGGTGTAGGCTGGATCACATGCATTTATTTTAAACATGTTGTGAGATATTTGTGTGGAATGCATTCTCAGTGATGGGAATGTTGTTCCAAATTACTTATTTATGTCAGCAACTGCCCATTGTATTTTATGTTAGCTTTAGATGTGATTTGGCATCCCAAAGCGATCACTGTTTAAACAAAGCAAATGATTGTACAGCTTGAAATCGGTTTAAAAGAGTCAGATGATTCGACGGTCCTGTTTCACGATGAGGCGGGGCTCCTTTTGGCTTCGTACCACAACAAGACCCGTAGCACTCTGCGATAAATGTTGGTGATGCTGGCGTGGAGAAGACCTTCAATTGATATAGGGGTGCAGTTAAAAACCTCAGATGCGGGGAATAAAATGCATAAGCAGACATCTGCTTCCCATATCTGTCCCTCTACTGTACATAAATAATATAAGTAATTGTTATCCATCAAATCAGCCACGAGGCCCTCTGGGATTGCATAATTTCAGCAGCATTGGTTCAACAATGCAAGCTCTTGATCGATTTCGACATACAAGTATCTCATTAAAGAGTCAGGTGTGTTTGAACTCATGTTGGTGAACTGCCAGATGTTATAGTAAAATAACCCATCTGTTAGATATTGGTCATAATTTGTATTGTCTGCTTATTTGTTGTGTTAATTATATTGTCTACAAGGATGCGAATGATTATTCTGTGCGAGATATATGGATACCATTTGCTGTGATTGAACATTCGAAACAAATGTGGTGGTGCAAAGGAAAGGCGTAAGAATTACTTGTGCAAGTGCATTATCGGTCCTGTTAGTTTCTGTTTTTTGCAGTCTTGTAATTAGAGAATTCCTTAGCTGGGAATTTTGGAATCCATTGCAGTGATGAAAGAATATATACAAGTGGGCTAGTATTTTGTCACATTTTTATATAGTCAAAGAAACCATCATTTTAATTATATTCATAGACAGCCATAATGGACAGAGTTAATGATTTAATTAATATTCTAAACCGTGCAGGGTTGACAACCTCTGGATTGGCAAGGCTTTGTTTTGCCTTCATGTAATTGTAAATCATGCAAACCACACTCCAGTCACATAATACGATATACTCTATTGTACTATACGTGTATCAGGACATTGTGCTGCGTGTTGCTAAAATTGAACAATTTGTCTATTTGTATAACTATGCAAATTGGTGCATATTGAATAAATATGGCTGTAGTGGTGAAATTCAATTTGGCCCTTGGAATGCTATCACCTTGAAGGCAATTTACATTAGCGCCTCAAGGTTTGCACGAATATTCTATTTTCTCTTCTATGCGGATAGAACGTTCACTGAATCATGATTGTCTTGTCTAACTAAAACCCCTTGAGCCAGAGTAAAGATATATAAACAATTTTCTGATCGGGCTTAATCCGTTGAATTATGTGAGTAAATAAATACAACAAAAATATGACTTAAAAAAATAGCAGAAATGTATGGATTTTTTTCTGATTTGTTAATTAAATAACAAACATTATTAATGATAACTCTCTACCATTTACGCTCAACACGTTCTGCTATGTGCTGGAATGATGGTGACATTCGTGATGTAAAGGCAAATAAAGATGAGAATGATACGATGATGATAATGAGGATGATCATGTGAATGGTGATGCTGATTATGATAGATGAAAATTAGATAATAAATCCATAATATAGTTATTCTCGGTTAGATCGCGTAAATATAAGAGTGTCGTTAAACCCGCCACCACCCGACACAGCCAATTAGTAAGGTTTGTCCACATAAACAGAACATGCCAATTTGTTACGAGTACAGCACACCGGTGTGTTGGACAGCAAATCCACAACATTTACAATATAAGTACGACGTCTTGCCAGTAATTACAACTAGCTTCATCAGGCGACAGCCAGATTGGTAGAGAAATCCTCCTGTTTCGTTCCTTAAATAGAGGGATAGATGTGATGACGTCACTTGTGAGCTCTTCTTGTGCAAGGGGGGGGAGGAATTAATTAATACATATATATTACAATGGGGATATATTGCCGGCTGGGTTATTCATATGGTAATCAATGTATACTATGTATGCACATTGTGCATGCACATTGTTCTTGTACCTCCTGTCGTTTGTGTGCACGTAAATGGATGCTGAGATTGCTGCTGCTGATGTGAATCATGATGCTGATTATTATAGATGAAAATGAGATGATGAATGGATGCTGCTGCCGCTGATGATAATGAAGATGAGGCAATTGCTTACTGTCGTGGCTATTGTTGATATGGCTCGTGCTGCTGATGATAAATTATAATATTTATTTTTACTGGGGAAATCCGATTAGTTATAAAGCTCTTTTCACGGATGTCCAGGGCAGGTCAGAACGTTACAATAACAAACAATACAAAACACAAAAGGAGTCCTACGTATAGGAAAGGTAAGCAAATCACTTTAAAATATACAAATAAAACGTAACAATTGTTAATTTTACCAGGAAAAGCCCACTGAGCTCTGAGCTTCTTTTTCAAAAGTAGACCTGGCCACAAATGACAGCTCAACGAAAATGGCTTATCATTTAGCACTATATACCAACAAAATAATCTTAATGATCTAAACGCATGATGACAAAGATGAAGATGGTGCAGCAAATGTCGTGTTGCCAGCAAAGCCATACTTAGTCCGAAGACTCCTTTTTAAGAGTTATTGGCATGTGGAAGGAGTCTGGTGTACCCGGAGAAAACCCATTCTGAGAGGAGATAACACGAAAATGTCAATACAGATGAACTCGCGTATCTTTTCCTGCCACTGTCTTATTATATATGTATGTTGTGAACTTTTTCAAAGTAATGTATCACTGATTAATCTCACAAGAGCTACGACTCGCTGTTTATAAAGCCACATTGTTAACTTTCATTTTTTAAAGTTTTAGAAAATTTAATGGGTGTTTTTGCGACTATGGGTCATCTTATAATTGTCGTGAGCAAACAGCCAAACCCTGTCAACCGACTATTTTCAGCTCAAACAGTAAGGGACAAAAGCGATGGACTGCACACATGTACCTGCCATTGTGGAATGTGCCACAATCACTGAAACTACACTCAAAGGTCTCCCTCCAATATCTGAAACACTGGGGAAATTTTTGAAGAAGAATACTGTGATTTTTTAAAATGGTTTCCAGGAAACGTTTGATTGCTTAGTGGCAAACAGAAACGCATCATTCGACATCAGGTAACAACGGGCGGGGTACGTTTGCAGGATGGAGGAGGAGCAGGCCGCTGAAACAGACATATCCAGAGATCGATTATCAAAGGGTTATGTTACATCAGTCCTGTATGGACTTGTATAGCAATGGCAAGACCCAGAAATGATTGTGTTATAACGAAGAGCAGAATCAAAAGAGGTCAGGGGTGGTGGCATCAACTGTATTGGTCATGATTGACCTCGGGTTATTTGAACATTCTAGTAAGGATTTGACATTTAGACTGGTCGAGTATAGTAAATATAGTTTGATTATAAATAAAATTTTTCGATCATGAGTAATTGTATAAAAAAAATAGTTACCGTGACTACTTTATAACTTTTTGGTTATTTTTGTAGTTGTAATGAGTCCCTCAAAATCCCTGTTTCCTTCCATCCCACATATTTTCACATGAGTTAAAAGACACCTTTTGAAGTACTGACAGAATT